CTCCCAAAGTGCTGGGATTACAGGCACAAGCCACTGCGCCAGGCCAACATCTCATTGTTTTAACTTTTCTTTTCCCTCATTGTTAATGATATTGAGCATATTTACATACGTTGAGTTTATTCATCTGTGAATTGCCTATTCTAATTCATTTTTTAATGAATTTTATTGTGTATATTTAAGATGTCCAGTGTAATGTTATGAGATACCTGTATATATATATATAAAATATTTATCATAGCGAAACAAATTAACATAGCCATCATCTCACATAGTTACCCATTTTTCCCACAGTGGCAAGAGCAACTATATATATTTAGCAAAAATTCTGATACAATGAACTATTAACTATAGTCCTCAGCTGGGCACAAATGCTCATGCCTGTAAACCTAGCACTTTGGGAGGCCAAGCGGGGAGACTCGCTTAAGCCTAGAATTTCAAGACCAGCGTGGGCAACGTGGTGAAACCCTGTCTCTACTAAAAATACAAAAATTAACTGGGCATAGTGGTGCACACCTGTGGTCCCAGCTACTTGGGAGGCTGAAGCAGGAGGATTGCTTGAACCCTGGAGACAGAGGTTGCAGTGCTGAGATTGCTTCATTGCACTCCAGCGTGCGTGACACAGCGAGAACTCTGTCTCAAAAAACCCCCAAAACCAAAAAACTATATTCCTTATGGAATCACACATTGGACCTTGAAATTTGTTCATTTTACATATTTGCTACTCTGGATCCTTTGACATCTCTCTCAATTTCTTCCTCATCACCCTATCCCTGGTAGCCACTTTTATTCTCTATCTCTGTATATTTGACTTTTTTTTTTCTGAGACTGAGTTTCGCTCTTGTCGCCCAGGCTGGAGTGCAATGACGTGATTTCGGCTCACCACAAACTGTGCCTCCCAGGTTCAAGCGATTCTCCTGCCTCAGCCTCCCAGGTAGCTGGGATTACAGGTGCCCGCCACCACACCCAGCTAATTTTTGTATTTTTAGTAGAGAGAGGGTTTCACCATGTTGGCCAGGCTGGTCTCCTGGCAATATTAAATAATATCAAGCTTAAAATTCTTTTTTTGAGACGGAGTCTCGCTCTGTTGCCCAGGCTGGAGTACAGTGGCCGGATCCCAGCTCACTGCAAGCTCCGCCTTCCGGGTTTACGCCATTCTCCTGCCTCAGCCTCCCGAGTAGCTGGAACTACAGGCACCCGCCACCACGCCTGGCTGGTTTTTTGTATTTTTTAGTAGAGACGGGGTTTCACTGTGTTAGCCAGGATGGTCTCGATCTCCTGACCTCGTGATCCGCCTGTCTCAGCCTCCCAAAGTGCTGGGATTACAGGTTTGAGCCATGGCGCCCGGCCTCAAGCTTAAAATTCTCTTCTCAAATTAATGGGTATAATGGTGTCTCTTTTTTATTTATTTATTTGTTTTGAGACAAAGTCTTGCTCTGTTGCCCAGGCTGGAGTGCAGTGGCACGATCTCGGCTCACTATAACCTCCACCTCCTGGGTTCAAGTGATTCTCCTGCCTCAGCCTCCTGAGTAGGTGGGATTACAGGTGCCTGCCACCACGCCCAGCTAGGTTTTTTATTTTTGGTAGAGACGGGGTTTCACCAGGTTGGCCAGGCTGGTCTCGAACTCCTGACCTCAGGTGATCCACCCGCCTCCACGAAGTGCTGGGATTACAGGTGTGAGCTACCGCACCCGGCCTATAGCAAATCTTAATTGCTAATGGCTTTGTAGTAAATCCTGTTATCTGATAGGGCAAGTTCTCTCTCCTTGTTCGTCTTTTTCACAAATTACTTTGCTATGAATGACTTTAGGGAGCAGGGATTTTTTTTTTCTTTCTTTCTTTTTTTTGAGACGGGGTTTTGCTCTGTCGCTCGGGCTGGAGTGCAATGGCACGATCTCGGCTCACCGCAACCTCCGCCTTTGGGGTTGAAGCGATTCTGCTGCTTCAGCCTCCCGAGTAACTGGGATTACAGGCATGCGCCACCATGCCCAGCTTATTTTGTATTCTTGGAAGAGACAGGGCTTCTCCGTGTTGGTCAGGCTGGTGTCAAACTCCCGACCTCAGGTGGTCCGCCCACCTCGGCCGCCCAAAGTGCTGGGATTACAGGCGTGAGCCACCATGCCCTGCCAGGGAGCAGTTTTTAAAGTTCCTTTAAAAATATTCTGTTGGGATTTTGTTAGAAATTGCATTTAACTCAGAGTAACTTGGAAAGAATCGACATCGTAATGAGCATTCTAATAACCATGGTGTATATCACTTCTTATTCTATCTGTTTTAGTTCATAGTCCCCCTCCTCCTGCTGCTCCATAGTAGACCTAAGGTAAGGATTTGAGTGCAAGTACCTTGTGTGGGAGGTAATCCCAGGAAAACCAGCAGGAGACTGGGAAAGAGATTTAAGGAGGGGAAAGCAATCGATTGCACATTATCAAGCAAATGGGCAAATGGAGTTTAACCCTGCTGGGAAACCCTTAGAATAGCTACAGAATGTGTGTCTCAGAGTTATCCTACCTGACAAGTGAGAAGCTGGGGTATTTACACAATTTCCTTCAGTCATTGACTGAGAGCTCCTAGAAGGCATTAATTCTCCAGCTCTTCCAGCCTCCTGACCCAGCATGCAAGGAAATGGTAAGTGCCAAGGAGCACTAACAGTGTGTGCTAAGCTACCAAACAGTCTTAAAACATATATATGTAATATATAAATATATATTTATATAAAATAATAAATATATAGTATATATTAATACATAATTATATAAAATGTATTATATGTGAAATATATTTTAGGGAAACAAATTATATAAAAATATATTAATAATGTATTAAAATATATGTTATATATTATAATATATAACATATATTAGGTTAATGTAATTAACATGTTACATAATATATGACATGTTATATATAACATATACAATATTATATATGTTTAATATATTATGCATTTTAATATATAATACATTTTACTATCTATTATATATACGTGGAGTACAAGTGCAGCTTTCTTACATGCATATCTTGCATAGCGGTGAAGTCTCGGCTCTTAGTGCACCCATCGTCTGAATAGTGAATATTGTACCCAGTAGGTAATTTTTCAGTCCTCACCCTCCTCCCACCCTCTCACCTTTTGTAGTCTTCAATGTCTATTATCCCATTCTGTGTGTCTATATGTACACATTGTTTAGTTCCCACCAATAAGTGAGAACATGTGGTATTTGACTTTCTGTTGCTGAGTTATTTCACTTGGGATCATGGCCTCCAGTTCCATCCGTGTTGCTGCAAAAGATTTGACTTCATACTTTTCTGTGGCTAAGTATTACAGTATTCCATGGTATATGCACATACCACATTTTATCCAATTCTCCTTTGATGAACACTTAGGTTGATCCCTGTCTTTGTGATTATTGTGAATATTGCTGTGATAAATATTCCAGTGCAAGTCTCTTTTTAATACAATGATTTCTTTCTCTAAAGAGTCTTTTGGAAATTCAGATATAAGCAACTTTCTCCCCTGCCTAAAATTTTTTGTTGTAGAGAAATCCAAAATTGTTGGCATGGCCTATGGGTTTCTTCACACTGGCTACGAACTCCTTTCCTGCCTCACCCTGCCGCCTCCTTTCCCAGGAAGTTTGCTGTCTAGCCCCACTGAACCACGGTCCCTCTGCTCCCTCAGAGGCAGCCAGATTCTGTCAAACCCTCGCTTCTTTGCATTTGTTGTTTTCTCTGCTTCTAATGCCCTTCCCTTATTTTTCCTCCTAGAAAAACCCTTCTGGGAACCAGAGTGGTTAGGAACATGGACATTGAAGTTAGAGCTGGAATCGAAACTTAGTTCAAATGCAGCCACCTTTTTGCTTTGCTTAGTGGGAAATGTTAGAGGTAGGCTAGAGGTAAAGCTGGGCAGGCTTGAGAGTTTTTTGAGAGAAATGTTGGAATGCTGGGGAGGAAAAAGAGGTTCAGGAAGGGCTGAGGAGGTTTGCCATCTGAGTTTTGATGTTTCTCTTTATTGTTTCTCCATGAAAATAAATTTATTTATTTATTTATTTATTTATTTATTTATTTATTTAATATTTTGAGACAGCAGGGCCTTGCTCTGTCGCCCAGGCTGGAGTGCAGTGGTGCAATCTTGGCTCACTAAGTCTCTGTCTTCCAGGCTTAAGCGATCCTCCAACCTCAGCGTCCCAATTAGCTGGGTCTATAGGCGTACACCACCATGCCTGGCTAATTCTTTTGTATTTGTTGCAGAGATGGAGTTTTTCATGTTGCCCAGGCTGGTCTTGAGCTACTGAGCTCAAGCGATCTACCTGCCTCAGCCTCCAAAAGTGCTGGGATTGCAGGTGTGAGCAATTTAAATTTAAAATATACATTTCAAATTAAAAAAAATTTTTGGCCAGTTGCAGTGGGCTCACACCTGTAATCCCAGCACTTTGGGAGGCCGAGGCAGGCAGATCACCTGAGGTCAGGAGTCTGAGACCAGCCTGGCCAACATGGTGAAACCCTGTCTCTACTAAAAATACAAAAGTTAGCCGGGCGTGGTGGCAGGTGCCTGTAATCCCAGCTATTCAGGAGGCTGAGGCAGGAGAATCGCTTGAACCCAGGAGGCTGAGGTTGCAGCGAGCCGAGATCACGCCATTGCACTCCAGCCTGGGCAACAAGAGTGAAATTCTGTCTCAAAAAACAAAAATTAAAAAAAATTTTTGTAGAAAGGGGGGTCTTAATATGTGGCCCTAGCTGGTCTTCAAGCAGTCCTCCCACCTCAGCCTCCCAAAGTGCTTAGATTACAGAAATGAGTCACTGCACCTAGCCTCTCCATGGAAATTGCCATAAAATGTAAATTATTTGTCAAGGGAAAAAAATCTGCTCTGACAGTTAATGTGGGCAAGTCACGTAACCTTTCTGAGGCTCAGTTTCCTTATTTGTATAGTGGAGATAATACCTCATTCTTACCTTATAGAACTGTTGTATTAATTATCTGTTGCTTAATAACAAATTACCTTCAAATTTAGTGACTTGTTACAACATACGATATTTATTATCTTAAACAGTTTCGTGAGTCAGGAATTCAGGAGCAACTTAGCTAACTGGTTCTAGATCATGGTCTCTCTGCAGCCAAGGTATCCACTGGGGCTGTGATCAACTGCAGCGTTGTCTGGAGCAGGAAGATCTGCTCCCAGGATGGTTCAGTCACGTGACTGACAAGTTGATGCAGGTTTTTGGCAGGAGGCCTCAGTTTCTCACCACGTGGGCCTCTCCATAGAGCTGCTTGAGTGTGTCCTCATAAAATGGCAGCTGCTTTGTCTAGAACAGATGATGCAAGGGAAAGCACAAGGAAGTTGCATATGTCTTTTATGACCAAGCCTTGGACGTCACAATGTGTGCCATACTCTACTGGTAACAGGCCAGGCATGATTCAGTGTTGGGAGAGGCTATACAAAGGCATGAACACAGGACTTTAGGATCACTGGAGGCCACCTTGGAGGCTGGCTACACAGAGGATGACATGAAGTGTGCTTAGTGTGGTTTTGAACTATAGCTTTTATTATCACTCAGCTTCTGGACTCCTTTCACAAATGTCATTTCTTCTGAGAAACCCTCTAGATCACCACAGGTAGTTATGAAATAGCCTTGCCAAAAACAATCAAAGTGGAATCTGTACAGGCTTTTGTTATTTTCCAACTTCAAGATCCTGATTTGAGGCATTGAAGGAAGAGGAATTTTTACCTCTGGTAAAGTCTCTTGGCTGGTTCAGGCCTTCCTACCTCTCTCTGTTCCCATATCATTGAACATCAGAGCCAGCCACGCTCTCCTCTAAAATAAATGAAAAGTAATAATAATAAATTAGAATTCATGAAAATTAAAATCTGCTGCACAAAAGACACTTTTAAGAAAATGTAGCTGGGCATGGTGGCTCACTCCTGTAATCCCAGCACTTTGGAAGTCCAAGGTGGATGGATCACCTGAGGTCAGGAGTTCCAGACCAGCGTGGCCAACATGGTGAAACCCTGTTTCTACTAAAAATACAAAAAATTAGCTGGGCATCGTGGTGCATACCTGTAATCTCAGGTACTTGGGAGGCTGAGGCAGGAGAATCACTTGAACCTGGTAGGCAGAGGTTGCAGTAAGCTGAGATTGTGCCATTGCACTCCAGCCTGGGCAACAAGAGCAAAACTCCATCTCAGACAAACAAAAAAAAAAAAAAAAAAGAAAAGAAAAGAAAATGTAAATGCAACCAATGAGAGAAAACATTCCCAATGCATATATCCAGGAAAGTCTCAGAAATAACATACTCTAAAATAAAGAACTCCTTTAACTCAGTAATAAAACACAAACAACCCATTTTTTAAATGTGCAGAGCACTTTAAAAATATTTTATAACAGAAGATATTCAGATGGTAAATAAGAATATGACAAGATGCCCAACATCATCAGTCATTAGGGAAATGCAAATTAAAATCACAATGGGACACAACTGCATACGCAGGAGGATGACGAAGGTTAAAGACTGACACTACTAAGTGTTGCTAGGGTCTCACTCTGTGACCCAAACTGGAGTGCAGTGGTGCGATCTTGGCTCACTGCAGCCTCTGCCTCTCAGGCTCAAGTGATTCTCCTGCCTCAGCCTCCCAAGTAGCTTGGATTACAGGTGCATGTCACTACCACCCAGCTAATTTTTGTATTTTTAGTAGGGATGGGGTTTCACCATGTTGCCTAGGCTGGTCTTGAACTCCTGACCTCAAATGATCCGCCCACCTCGGCCTCCCAAAGTGCTGGGATTACAGGCATGAGCCACTGCCCCAGGACCGAATTCTCATACACTTCTGATGGGAGTGTAAAATGGGGCACAACCACTTTGAAAACCTGTTAGATGGTTATCTTATAAAGATAAACATACATGTACCATATAACCTAGCAATTCTTCTCCTATTTACCCAAGAAGAGTGAAAACATATGGCCACACAAAGACTTATACATACATGTTTTATCGGAGTTTATACACAATATCCTCAAACTGGAAACAAGTCAAATGTTCACCACCTAGTAAGTGGACAGACACATTATGTCACATTTGAGCTATAAAATATTACTCATTATCAATAAAAGTAAACAAATTATTGATACATATAGCATAATGAATGAATCTCAAAAATCAATATGCTGATTCCATTTACATAAATTTCAAGAGCAGACAAAACTAATCTACAGACATTAAAATCAAATCAAGGGCTGGGTGTGAAGGCTCATGCCTGTAATTCCAGCACTTTGGGAGGCTGAGGTGGTAGGATCATTTGAGCCTAGGAGTTTAACGCCAGCCTGGGAAACACAATGAGACCCCATCTCTACAAAAAATTTTTTAAAAATTTGCCAGGCATGGTGGCACTCACCTGTGGTCCCAGCTACTTGGGAGGCTGAGGCGAGAGGATCACTTGAGCCTGAGAGTTTGAGGTTATAGTGAGCTATGATTGCGTCACTGCACTCCAGCCTGGGCAGCAGAGCAAGATCCTGTCTCAAAACAAACAAACAAACAAAAAAATGAAATCAGTGGTTGCCTGGGGTTAGGTGAGGGATTTGACTGCAAAAGGGTCTTGACTTTCACGTGTGTGTGTGTGTGTGTGTGTGCGTGTGTTGTTATTTTGTTATTATTTTTCATTGAGAGTCTCCCAGAACTTTCTGTGGTCATGGAATGGCACTGATTTGGGGAGAAAGTGGTAATAGTTTCACAATTGCATACATTTGTCAAAAATTGTCAAATGAAATATACATTTTATTATAAAGATTTTATACCTCTGTAAAAAAAAGATTATTACAGATTTTTTTTTTTTTTAGACGGGTCTGGCTCTGTGGCCCAGGCTGGAGTACAGTGGCACGATCTCGGCTCACTGCAACCTTCGCCTTCTGGGTTCAAGCAGTTCTCCTGTCTCAGCCTCCTGAGTAGCTGGGACTACAGGCACATGCTGCCATGCCCAGCTAAATTTTGTATTTTTAGTAGAGATGGGGTTTCACTATGCTGGCCAGGCTGTTCTCTAAATCCTGACCTTGTGGTCCGCCTGCCTTGGCCTCCCAAAGTGCTAGGATTACAGGCATGAGCCACCGTGCCTGGCTTATTACATATTATTTTTAAAAGATCATTGTTAACGATTACATGCAATATCTCAGATCATCCACTAGTAGGGTTACCAGATTTAACAAATAAAAATACAAGGACTCAGTTAAATTAGAATTACACCTAATTGCCTGATATAAAAATTATTGTGTGGGACATTCACTAAAAGTATTTCTTTGCTTATAGAAAATAAATTATAAGTATCTGAATTGTATATTTCTCTAATTATATTTTTGACCACTGTAATTAAGATTCTTGATTTTGAAATTTGCCTATAAAATTCCTTGTAGATATAATCTATAGTTATTTTCATTGTAATATAGCTTCAACAACGGTAACATCTAACTTATTTCAGTTGTCCATTGAACATTCATTAGTTAGATAACATGCTCAACATTAGCAATATGAGGCTGCATACTGAATGATACGGTTTGGATCTGTGTTCCCACCAAATCTGAAGTCAAACTGTAATCCCCAGTGTTGGAGATGGAGCCTGGTGGGAGGTGATTGGATCGTGGTGGTGGTTTAGCCCCTTGGTGCTGTACTCATGATAGTGATTGTGTACTCTCAGGATTTAGTTGTTTAAAAATGTGTAACATCTCCCCTCTTTCTCTCTTGCTCCTGCTCTAGCCATGCAAGATGTGCCTGCTTCTCCTTCACCTTCTGCCATGATTATAAGTCTCCTGAGGCCTCCCCAGAAACGGAAGCCACTATGCTTCCTGTAGAGCCTGCAGAACTGTGAGCCAATTAAACTTCTTTTTAAAATAAATTACCCAGTCTCAGGTATTTCTTTATAGCAGTGTGAGAAGAAACATTCGGAAAATTGGTTCCAAGGAGCGGGTCACTGCTGTAAAGATACCTGAATATGTGGAAGCAGCTTTGGAATTAGGTAATCAACAGAAGTTGGAAGAGTATGAAGGGCTCAGAAGAAGACAGGAAGATGAAGGAAAGTTTGGAATTTCCTAAACACTTGTGAAATTGTTGTGACCAAAATACTAATGTGATACAGACAATGAAGCCTAGGCTGAAGAGGTCTCAGATGGAGATGATGAATTTATTGGGAACTGGAGCAAAGATCACTTTTATTATGTGTTAGCAAAGAGGTTGGATGCATTGTGCCCCTACCCTAGGGATCTGTGGAACTTTGAACTTGAAAGTGATGATTTAGTGCATCTGATAGAAGAAATTTCTAAGCAGTAAAGCATCCAAAATGTGGCCCACCTGCTTTTAACAACCTATGTTCATATGTGTGAGCAAAGAAATGACTTGAAACTTGAGCTTATATTTAAAAGGGAAACAGAATATAAAAGTTTGGAAAATGTGCAGCCCATTTTCAGGGGAGGAATTCAAGCAGGCTGCATAAATTTGCATAAGAAAACAGAAGCCAGGCAGGTTGTGGTGGCTCATGCCCATAATCCTAGCACTTTGGGAGGCCAAGGTGGGTAAATCATTTGAGGTAAGAAGTTCAAGGCCAACCTGGCCAACATGGCAAAACCCTGTCTCTACTAAAAATACCAAAATTAGCTGGGCATGGTGGTAGGCACCTGTAGTCCCAGCCACTCAGGAGGCTGAGGCAGGAAAACTGAAAGAAGCCAAGTGCTAATATCCAAGACAATGGGAAAGAGGCCTCACAGGCATTTCAGAGACCTTCTTGGCAGCCCCTCCCATCATAGGCCCAGAGGCCAAGTACTGAAGAATGTTTTTTTGGGGGCCAGGCCCAGGGTCCCACTGCCCTGTGCAGCCTTAGGACACTGTTCCCTGCATCCCAGTCACTCCAGCTTTAGTCACAGCTAAAAGGGGCCCAGGTACAGCTCAGGCTGCTGCTTCAGAGGGTGTAAGCCATAAGCCTTGGTGGCTTCTATGTAGTGTTAGCCCTACAGGTGCAGAGAGTGCAAGAGTTGAGGCTTGAGAGCCTCTGCCTAGATTTCAGAGGATATATGGAAAAACCTGGATGTCTAGGCAGAGGCATACTGCAGGGGTGGAGCCCTCATGGAGAACCTCTACTAGGGCAGTGTGAAGGGGAAATGTGGGGTTGGAGCCCCCACACGGAGTACCCACTGGAGCACTGCCTAGTGGAGCTGTGAGAAGAAAGTCACTGTCTTCCAGCTCCACTAGGCAGTAGAATGTTAGATCCACTGATAGCTTGCACCCTGCGCCTGGAAAAGCCAGAGGCACTCAACAGAAGCCCATATGAGCAGCCTCAGGGGCTACACCCTGCAAATCCACAGGGGTGGGGCTGCCCAAGGCTTTGGGAGCCCTCCTCTCATACCAGTGTGCCCTAGATGTGGGACATGGGGTCAAAGGAGATTATTTTGGAGCTTTAAGATTTAATGACTATGCTTCTGGATTTCAGACTTGCATGGGGCCTGTGACCCTTTTTTTTGTCCAATTTCTCCTTTTTGGAAGGGAGTATTTACCCAATGCCTGTACCCCCACAGTATCTTGGAAGTAACTAACTTGTTTTTGATTTTACAGGTTCATAGGTGGAAGGGACTAGCCTTGTCTCAGATGACACTTTGGACAGTGAACTTTTGAGTTAATGATGGAATGAGTTAAGACTTTAGGGGACTGTTGGGAAGGGATGATTATATTTTGAAATGTGAGAAGGACATGAGCTTTGGGGGGGCTGGGGAAAAATGATGTGGTTTGGATCTGTGTCCCCACCAAATCTCATGTCAAATTGTGATCCCCAGTGTTGGAGGTGGGGCCCGGTGGGACATGATTGGATTGTGGGGATGGTTTCTCATGAATGGTTTAGCACCAAGTCCTTGGTGCTATACTTGTAATAGTGAGTGCTCATGAGGTTTGGTTGTTTAAAAGTATGTAGCACCTTCCCCTCTCTCTCTTGCTCCTCCTCTAGCCATGTAAGATGTGCCTGCTTCTCCTTTGTCTTCTGCCATGATTGTAAGTTTCCTGAGGTCTCCACAGAAGCAGAAGCCACTATGCTTCCTGTACAGCCTGCAGAACCATGAGCCAATTAAGCCTCTTTTCT